ATAAATCCTCTGACCAGGATTCCAACATCGATCTCCTGGATCATATAACAGTATTTGGGACACAGTAGGTGCTTATTAAGTATATGCTGAATAGTTGGATATATTATATATAGTTGTAAATAAAATGTTACTCAATAACTTTCTTTCACTTAATGTCAGTTCATATAGACATTGCCTTATTCTTTTTAATTACACTATAGTAATTTATAGTGTGAATTATTATAATTTGTTCAGCCATTTGCCTTGTGGAGAAGATCGAGGCTGCTTTCTAATTTTTAACATTTTGAACAATGCTGCAGCAGACATCCTTATATAGCCCTTGGAGCACATGAACCTGTGACTTTTCTGATAAGTACCTACTAAAATAAAAGTGTCCAGGCATCTTTAATCTGGACAAATGCAGCCTTAAAACATCGTGACAGTTTATGGTACTACCAACAGTGAATGAAGGGGTGGATTTTCCTATGGTGCATCACTGCTTTGTTACCCATCTTTCAGTGCCTTTCCAATCTTAGGGGAGGTAAATGATTTTGCATTGTTGCTTGAACTTGAATTATCCTGACTTCTGCGAAGCTGTGCTTGTCCTTCCATATGTTTATTGGCCATTTGGCATCTTTTTCTGAGAATGGCCCAGATAAATTACTTGAGCGTTTTTCCTACTAGACTATTTTTCTTTTTAAAAAAACATTTACCTGTAATTGCATTTTATATATTCCGGATTTTATATATATATATATATTTGCCTTTTAAAAGAGTATTCTCTTCTATTCTGTTTTTTGGGGTTTTTTTTTTTTTTTTGTATTTTACCTTGGTTTTGGTACTTTTGTTATGCAAAACTTCTCAGTTTTAATGTATTCAAATACATCCTTTGTTGACTTTTCAGCTATAGTTTTGTATTTTGCTTAAAAAGCTCTTTGCAAGCTTAGGATTATAAAAATACTCTCCTATATTTCTTTTAGTGCTTTTATCATTTTATAGTCTATGATTTGCTCTTTAATTCATTTGAAATGTATTGTTACATATGGTATGAGGCTGAAATATAATTTAATTTTTTTCCAAACAGATAATTTATAGACATCAATCTACTTAACTCTACTTTTTGACTAGATCAAACTCTCCCCGTTTAGAATGCTCCCTTGATCATAAACTCTATCATTATATGTACATGGGTCTAATTGTGTACTCTTGATTCATTGTTTCCCGATATCCAGTCATTTTCATACTGTTTCCATCATTTCTGTTATATTCATGTTCCATTTATTTACTTAATATTTTAGCATAATACATTTTAAAAACAAATACCTACTTTAGCCTCATCCTAAGCACATAAAATCATAGGTTTAACTTTTTTTCTAGCAAACATTAGAATAAGTGCTTAACTATTGAAATGACAAATGTTTATCTATGTGCCATTTAAAATCATCTTACAAATCATGGGTAGAATGCAGAGGCACTGTGGGGAAACACTATTGCGTTCTTTCCTCTATAGGATTTGTCCATTTCTGTGACAGAACATCATTATAGCTTCATGGCATGCTTTGTTGTTGTTATTGCTAATATCTTATTTTGAAATAATTTCAGACTCGCAGATGGTAAAAATAGTACCAAGAGCTCTTGTATAGCCATCACCTAGCTTTTCCCAATGGTGACATCTTACATATCTGTAATACAGTATCAAACTCAGGGAATTGACATGGCACAATAGAATTCGCTAGACTACAGACCCTCCTCAGATTTTACCAGTTTTTGCATGTACTTACATTTTGTCTTTATACATAGATAGTCCAATGATATTTTATTACATTTATAGATCCATATAACTACCACCACAGTCAAGATACAGAACCATTCATCGTCATTAAGAAGCTTCCTCACAGGCCCCTTTCTGGTCATACCCTCCCTCACTTAACCCCTGGCAACCATGGATCTGTGCTCCACCTCTGTAACTTTGTCATTTTAATAATGTTGTAGAAATGGAATCATACAGTACAGAATCTTGGGGACTCACTTTGGGTTGTTTGTGTGTTTTTTCACTTAGCATAATGACCTGGAGATTTGTCCAATTGTCATGTCAACCAATGGTCATTTCTTTCACTTGCTGAGTAGCGTCCCATAGTGTAGCTACACCACATTTTGTTTAACCACTCACCCACTGAAGGACATCTGGGCTTTTTCCATTTGGGGGCTATTACAACTAAAACTGCTATGAATGTTCATATGCTGGTGTGTTTTTTTAATCCTGACCCAAGGATATATATATATATTTATTTATTTATTTATTTTAGAGAGAGAGAGGAAGGGGGAAAGAGAGAGAGAAACATCGATGTGAGAAACATAGATCAGTTGCCTCCCTTAGGCCCCCCAACTGAGAATTGGACCTGAAACCTTTTGGTGAATGGGAGGACCCTCCAACTAACTGAGCCACCCAGCCAAGGCATCATATGCAGATTGTGATGTGAATTTAAGATTTTGTTTCTCCTGGATAAATGCCCAAGGGTGTGAGCACTGGATTCTATGGTAAGTGTATGTTTAACTCTTTAAGAAACTGCCAGATAGGTTTCCAGAGTGGCTGAACCATTTACATTCCTACCAGCAATGTCTGAGAGATCCAGTTTCTCTGCGTCCTCACCAGCATTTGGCACTCTCCGTGTTGTTTATTTTATCTATTTTGATATGTTTCTCGTGGTTTGACTCATCTTTCCCTAAGGGCTAGCGATGTGGAGCATCTTGTCACGTGCTTATTTGTAAGGCATGTTTTGGTATCTGACAGGAGAGCTGACCTTGGCTTCTGATTGAGGTGGGGATGCTCCTCTCAGCTCTGCCACAAGGAAGAAAGGGGTGGTGGTGATGGTGGGTGGTTTGACCTCGGTGGTTAGGAGCACAGGCTCAGGGCCTCAGGTAAGCACTGGGGAGGCTCACTGGGGAGAGGGTGTGAAGCTTCCAGCACCCTACCCCCAAGACACTTTTAATAAAAATTAATGCCTTTGGAGATGAAATCACTTAGGTGTTGTGAGGAAGTTCTCAGACTGGGCTCACAATTGGAAATAGTGGGACCCAGTCACAACAGGGCCACAAATATTACCCCATCTTTTTGGAATGTGGAAAGAATTGGAGGGGAAGCTTGAGTTGTCCCAAAAGCCTGTGGTTCCCACCAACACTCCAAGAGCAGGACCCACATCCATTTGTCGTGTTCTGCCCAGCATCCCCGAGAAAGATCTGTCTAGTAGTGGGGAGAGGGCCACCTCTGAGCAGTGACTGTGTCCCCCCATGCAGACTCACCTTCTCCCTGAGGCTTGACTGTGAACACGAAGGTGCTTGAGAACCTCTGAGATCCAAGACAGGACCTATGAGCCAGAGCCCATGAGGAGCTACAGCGCATCCTGGAGGAGTGAGCTGACCCTGGCAGGAGCAAGGAGGAACCAGTTTCAAAAACACTATGGGGGGTGGGGTAGATTTGGAGGGAGAGGTCTCAGGTTCACCCTCTAGAGCAGGGATTCTAAGGGTAGGCTCTGCAGTCCTGTGGCTGACGAGGAGCCTCTTGACAAACGCACATCCCAGATGCAGGTCCTTTCCTGTGTCTTCCAGGGCAATGACGCACCCGTCCAGAAAGTTCTATTTTTATCCACGACCAAAGTCCCCTTCATTATAACCTATGAATTGAATCATTAAGGCTTACTAAGCGAGAGTATTTATAAAGTAAAATGAGGGTGTTTCTAGAACTTACTAAACAATGTCAGTGTGACCTTACATTTTGTTTATTTCCCTGTCTGTAAAATGGGGAAAATAATAGTTCCACCTTCATTGAGACATTGGAACGGTTAAAGCGCTTAACGCAATGCCTGACTTAGAGTAAGCATTGCGAGGAGGCGGCAGCTGTTATTATGACTAAAGCATAAGCGGGGGACACCACACCTGCTATTGGGGGTTGGAGTTCCTGCCACTGTGGAGGGTGTCTTGATCGGGGCTGGGGCTGCCTGTGCTTGATCAGGGCTGCCTGGAGTTGGTGAGTTTTCCCATTGACGCTCATCTTCCTAGGAAATTGTAAATTTCTGTTAGTTTAGCTTTATTATTATCGCCTTCGTGTGCTGGGAGTGGTTTGGTAAATCCTACAGAATACATTGCTGCATATTCCACACTCTAATTTTTGACATACAATTTTCTAATAACTAGATTCCAAGCCATCCATGTGTATGGTTCAAACATGAATCATCTGTGTCTTGTAGTTAAAGCTGATGCATATATAAATAGCACCCCCATGTGACGTTTGCTGACCACATTGTCACTGTTACTGTGTTCTCTAAGCAGGACTATCTGGTGAGTGTGGGCTGCAGGGTTTTCAACCTCGCCTAAGTAGGCTCCAGAATATTGGAGGCGCCATGCATGGAGGGCCTGGGAGGGTGGCCCTGCTATTTAGAACCAGGTTCATAGGGAGTGGCAACAGCCCCCCTCTGGAAGGCATCCCAGCTTGATGTAGTAGCAAGGGTTCTTGGGCTCCTCCTGGGGACCCCAGCTTCCCAGGGTGTCCTCTACCTCACACCTCTGCCTCTGCATGGACCCCAGGAGTGTCTGTGCAGAGTGCTCACCCATGTGCACACACACAGGGCTCAGGACCTGGCTCTGGACATCTCCTCCAGTAGCCTTACCTAATTGATCACACCTAATGCTGACCAATGCTTTCCTCTGCACTTGAAGACTTGCTATATCTCTTTCCGTTTTTCCCTTACTCTGCTGAGGGAACAGAACCCTCGCTGAGTCAGAGTGAGTCCTTTCTGCCCAGGCTATTAAAGTATTTGTACTGAGGCCCATTCACATACATATACCTATTAGATATGACACACTGCATTGGTGATTAAGGAAGCTAGGTCCAGAGAGGGTAAGCCACTTGTCAGAGGTCACACAGTCACGCCCAACCCAAGGAGTTCCCCTGTAATTAATATGCTTGTTGGTGGCCCAACTCCTTAACTAGTGAACTAACCTGCCTCCTTTCATGGCCCCTGCAGATGCCAAAGGGACCATCCGGGAAATTGTCCTACCCAAGGGCCTGGACCTGGACCGGCCCAAGCGGACCCGCACATCCTTCACGGCTGAGCAGCTGTACCGCCTAGAGATGGAGTTCCAGCGCTGCCAGTATGTGGTGGGCCGGGAGCGCACTGAGCTGGCCCACCAGCTGAACCTCTCAGAGACCCAGGTAAGACGACATCCGAGCCACTCCACCCCTGTCCCGGCAGCCTGGGAAATCCTTTGGTGTGAGAACCAACTTTGGAGGAGTTCAGACATGCATTAGCGACAGGCTTAACGCCACAGGGCCTTCTGGATGCATCAGGCAATTTGGATGGAACAGGAGGAAAGGCCAGAGAAACCTGGGGGGAAGGACACTCAGGATGCAGGGAGTGGCTTAGGGGGATGTTGGCAAGTGAAAGGAGATTGCAGAGAGGACTGGTGAAAGGTTGGATTTGGGCAGAGATGAGGCTTTACACAATTGGGACCCCATTTCCCCATTCTGGGCCTTTTCCTACCCTCAGTCACCTTCCCTTCATCCCAGGGTGGCTCAGAACCTCTTGTGAGAGAGAAGGGCTCTGAACACCCACTTTACCCCAAAAGGCTTAGCATTTTAACAATAGTATGCTTAACCCAAAGGAAAAGCTTTTGTAAATTAAGCCCCTATCCTGTGTGGATGGGGGCATTTCAAGCTGACAATAGAGCTATGTCGTGATAGCAACAACAATAATTATAATACTTACTTGGTACTTACTTGTGTCAAGGCACTGTTCTAAGTGCTTTGGGTATGGGTTTTTGCTATTGGTGGTGGGGTTTTTTTGTTTTGGTTTTTTGGGGTTTTTTTGTTGCTGTTTTTTTGCAGCCAAGAAAGTAATGCTTTATTAAGGAGATGGAGCCATGCTGACTCACAGGTAGCTCATGCTCAAAGACCTAGCTCTCTGGTGGCTTCTAGGGGATGGATTATACAGGGGGGAAAAATCATTAATCATGGTGACTGATAGAGTTGGGGTCATGTTCTCTGCTGACCGGTTGGTGCTAGAGTAGGGGGTAACTGATCACTGCATCTGGTCCTGATGGCAGCCATGCAGCTGTTCTGTTCAATTTCACAAGAATTTGTTCTGTGGGATCATTCTGCTTTCCTGGGTCCAGAGCTAAAACACAACTGAAGCCCAAGATATTATGTTTAGTTTGAAAACTTTGTCTCAGTATTGTTGACCAGAGCCTCCTTGTCCTGAGGACTTAATGTTAAGCAGGAGAGAGGGAGGTGGGTGAGTTAGGGTGCTAGGCGAGGCCAGTTTGAGTCAAAGGAAAGTATCACAATAAAGGGCCAGATTAAAGAAAATAAGGTTATAATTCTGGATATGTTAATTCACCAATCCCTTCCAACAACCCTTTGATGTAGTAGCAGTATTATCCCATTTTACAGATGAAGAAAGATTATACCCAGAGTCATACAACTAATAAGCCCCAGAGCTGGGGTTTGGAGAAGCATCTTTATGCTGCCTGTAAAGTGGGCAATCGACCTGGAGCTTGTCAAAGAGTTTGTTTAGCAACAGCTCTAGTAGTTTAATCTCATAGATGAGGGAGATCAGTCAACAGATGTATTGCAAACAAGGGCAAAACAGGATTTATACGAGGAAGGAGAGGAGTAAGGAAGCAGGTAGGCTGGAAGGGTGCGCCTGCTGGGGGAGGCTGCGGGAGGATGGGTGAGGCTCCTCCCTGTACTGTGGCTCCTGTCCTACCCCTGGCACCCCAGGTGCTGCGGTTAAGTCTGGGTCGCACCACTTGCCTGATCAGAATTCCTCCAGCTCCTCCAGTCACACTAACAGAATGCTGTCCAGTCCACCCCTCGTGATGGGGCGGTCAGATATGCCTGGACTGCCCCGCCCTCCCGAGGTAAACCCTGAGTGGGGCAGAGAGAGAGGTGAGAAGGGGCGAGAGGAGGAGGAGAGGTGGGGAGGATGGGGCCTGCCGGGCAAGGGCCGATGTCCTGCAGACATCAGTCAGTCCTCTGCACCTGGACCTGTCTTCCTCCAGAGGCCTCTGTAGAGTCCCAAACAACCCAGCACATGGCCCACGGTAACTGGGTCCTCCCTAGAGCTGGGCTCCCTCCGGGGCTAGAAAGCCAGGCTGTGCTCACAGAGGGAGCTTCAGTGGCTCCTGGAGGATGTCAGGGAGATACCCTAAAACCCTGAAGTCTAGGCACAGAGTCACCCCTCAATACCTGCCCCTCCTCTTTGCCCTAACTACCCTCTGCCTCACCTAATTTTGCCCCCAAACACTCCCCCAAAACTTTGCTTTCCAAGGCCACCTCAAATGCCGAGAACTCATCCTTCCCCTACCCTGCCCCACACACCCTACATTTACCTGCCTTTGAAGGTCAAAGCTGAGCCCCTCCTCTTCCAGGAAGCCTTTCCTAAGGCACCTTGGTCTCCTCCCAAGAGAGCTTTTCCACATGGCTGGATCTGTAATGTGTGTGTGTGTGTGTGTGTGTGTGTGTGTGTGTGTGTGTGTGTGTGTAGTGTGGTGGGCACCAACCAGCAAGCACTTCCCAAGGACAGGAATGTGTTTGAAGGCCATGTCTCCTCAGGCCTCCTTGAAGAGCCCAGCACAGAACTGGGTACACAGCGAGCCCTCAAGGAATCCTTGCCTTACTGATTATTGCTTACCACCCTCTTTTCTCTTTCCCAATCCTGGGGTTTTGCAGATAAGATAAAGTATAGCTAACATTTATTGAGAGCTTCCTATGCACCAGGCACTGTTCTGAGTGTTTGACAAGTTCTATCTCCTTTAGTTCTCACCACAGCCTTGTGCAGTAGTTGTGAGGTTTCTCTTCTGACACTACTTCCGATACTAAATGTGTGGTGTTTTCCAACACCAACAGCAACCAATTCTTCGACATCAACTGGATGCCCCATCGTTCAATTCAATTTAATTCTTACAGAAACCCCTGAAGTTAGCACAGACTCTACAAGTTAAGGGCTCAGTCTCACAAGACATTCCCACATCAGATGCCAGTCACAAGTCCCAGGGCTCCCAGCACTTCTGATCAGCTCTCAATTTGGGGGTGCCCACACCCCCTCTTTAGGTTTGATAACTCACTAGAATGACTCACAGAATTCAGGAAAACACTTTACATTTACTGGTTTATTATATATAAAGGATACAAGTCTGCAATTTATTATAAAGGATACAATTCCGAAATAGCCACATGGGAAAGATGCACAGAGCAAGGCGAGGGAGCAGTTCAGGGAGCTCCCGTACCTTTTCTGGATGTGCTACCTCCCCAGCATTTCCATGAAGCTCTTTGGGGGAAAGAATAAGGGATTTCTTCAAGTGTGTCCAGATAATGGATGGGCTCCTAAGGGATAAAAAGGAGGCACAGCCATGTGCAAATCCACAAACAGGAGCCATGGTATAACCAGGCCTATAGAGATTGGAAGCCAAAGGCTGTTGTGGACCCAAGTCTCCAGCTCCAGGTACTCACAGATCTTCTCTATGGTGCGCCATTGAATACATGGCCCAACTGCTCTCCAAGTGCCTGCTTCTCTCTGTATCTGCCTGTTTCTCTTCTCTTCTCTTCCTGCTGCCAACCAGAATGCTGACCCTCCTCGCCTGGATACCAGGAGGGCCCAGGAGTGGTCCTAATTCAACAGAGAAAGCACAGGGCTTTCCAGCGCCCATTCAGATTTCTAGTCTCCTCCTTAAGTTCTGTGTGCCCAACTGAGTCGAGTTGTCTAAACATTTAAATGGGAAGCCCATGTACAGGACTGGGTGGACAGAACAGTGAAGACCTTTCCTCCCCACCCCACCACCCACAGAGGTCTGCAGGAGGAAGGGCCCTTCTGATGTGGGAACAGTGAACAAGACAGAGCGTGGCTGCTTTCCACCCGTGGCCTTGCCCAGAACCTGACATTGTGCAGTGAAGAAGGCCCTGGAGAGCAGGAGGTGGTCTCAAAGGGATCTCTCTCTTGGAACCATCAGAAGACTCTCCTACCACCCCCATTCCCCCAGGGTGCCTGCACTGAAAGCACCTCTCCTGTCAGAGAAAAAAGAGCGTCCCGAGTACTCTAGTTCCCCTTATTTTCATAAACACCTAATACATTTTGTCACTATGCTTTGTTTCAAGGAAAATGTTTGGTGTTTGATTGAAGCATCATTTCTCAAGGACTGGTGTGCAGACCACCTACATGTAGAAACCCTTAGGTTCTCATTAAAACACAGATTCCTGGCTCAGATTCCACATTTAGCCCACATGTTTCAAGTCAAAATTTCTAGAGAAGACCCAACAACTATATATATTTTTCAGCTGATGTGATCACCACACTGTTTAAAAGACTTCAGTATCTGCCAGCACTAGATTAAGTCCATATTGTTAGCTCAGTGAGCCATCACAACAAACTGATGAGGAGGCACTATCACAATCCCCATTTTACAGATGAGGAAACTGAGGCACAGAGAGGTTAAGTAACTTGTCCTATGTCATCCAACTAATTAAGGGAAGAACCAGAATTGAATCCAGGCTGTCTGACCTCAGGGTCTTTTTCACCATACCATTTGCTACTCTACCAGTGATTCTTTTAAGCCTCCTGACTTGCCTTCTGCGGGGGAGCACCCTCTCCTTCCCAGGGATGGAAGGAAGTCTCCTGTCACCATCAGGGGTCCCCATAAGGACTGACCACTGAACTTCCCTCCTAGCCTTTCTTTACTTCTACAGATGAGGGCCATGGTAGAAGGCTAGATCTCCTCTCATAGGCCTTGAAAAAGGGCCTCTCTCTGTGCTTCTGTTAGTGGTTCCATTTAGGATGTGGGATACTTGACACCTCTTTGTCCCAGGTTTGAGTATGTGGCCACTGGGAGGCCCCCTGGACATCATGCCACACCCTCTCACTTGGTATCATGTTGGGAAGCCCAGACTTTACAGGTTATGGGATAGGAGGGGGCTATGATGGGTTCGAACAGGGGGATGGTTAGATTGGGTTAGAGCACTCACTTCAGAGGCGGGCAGAGCCCAGACCGGAGAGGTAGGACCGTCCTCAGACTAGGCAACTGGCCCATGCCGTAGGCCCCATGCCGTAGAGGGCTGCACTTTGGCCCTCCGCTGGTCATGCCCCTTCGTGGGGTGAAGATTCTGCAAGGCCAAGGGGTCCTGCCCACCACCAGAAGCCTGTACCTACCTTCTAGACCACACCCTTGATGTCCAAGATGCCAGAATTCCCTGCCAAATGGCCCAAACCCACTTCTGGCACCTGCCTGGGCCTCTCTCCACATCAGTATTCCCAAGGGCAGGCCATGCAGCCATTATTCAGAAGCTTAAGCCCATAGAGTGGCCAATGAGGGCTGTTTGCAAAGTGAGAACAGGCTGGCACAGAGAGGCTCTGCAAGTCAGAGCCAGGGCAGGCCATGAGCCAGAGCCTTGTAGTTTCCTCTTGTTCCCAGCCCTGCAAATGTTAAGGTGTAAATGTGAGGCACAGGGATCCTTAAACAGTGGTTCTCTCAGCTTGGGATCACCTGGTGAGCTTTAGAAGCTCCTGGTGTCAGGGACCCAGCCACCCCATTCGAGTGGAATGATTTGAGGTTAGGTGTGAGTTACGTTCCCCAGGTGGCTCTCCTGAGTGACCAGAGCAAGGGAAGAGAGGAGGGCTTGTGCTAGGGAATGGGGAGGGGACCTCCAGAGCTCTCCTGAGGTTTCTGCTGGGTAGATGGAGGTGCTCCTCATGGAAGACAGAAGGTGGGGAGGGGCCCCTGTGTGGGGGAGTGGGGAGTGGATCTGAGCTGGGTCTGTACATGTGGCGTTTATTTTTTTTACTTTTTAGAAGACTTTTTATTGATTTTTACAGAGAGAGGAAGGGATAAGGAGAGAGAGAAATGATGTGAGAGTGAAACACTGATCAGCTGCCTCCTGCACACCCCCTACCAGGGATAGAGCCCAAAACCCAGGCATGTGCCCTGACCTGGAATCGAACCAGCAACCTTTCAGGTGCATAGGATGACACCCAACCAACTGGCATGGGAGCCACACCAGCCAGGGCTGTACAAGTGGAGTTTACCAGGCAGTTGGATAATGGCCTGGATCTCAAGTTGGGAATTACTAGCAAATAAATAGTGACTGAAACCATGAACTTGACTAACAGTGGAAGATATGTTCAGCCAAGAGGGGCACTTCATTTGTGCGTCCAAGCTCCACCCTCTATCTGCCAATTCATTCTTCCATTCTAGGCCAAGGTCAGCTTAGCAGTGGAAGGGGGTCCATGATTTGGGGGGGGCAGGGTCCCTTATCAGTTCACCCACAGCAGGCTGGTTGGAGGAAGACCTTAATGACAATCTGAATGTTCTTCTTTCCCCTCTCACTCCACCCTTGCTCCCCCACTCCCACACCCCTGCACCCCCATACCCCTCCACTCCTTTTCTCCTCCCACCTGCCCCTTTGCCTTGCCTGTCCCATTTCCCTTCCTGACACCTTGCCCCGTCTACCCCAAGGTGAAGGTCTGGTTCCAGAACCGACGCACCAAACAGAAGAAAGACCAGAGCAGAGACCTGGAGAAACAGGCGACCTCCTCGGCCTCCGAAGCCTTCGCCACCTCCAACATCCTGCGGCTGCTGGAGCAGGGCCGGCTGCTGTCGGTGCCCAGGGCCCCCAGCCTCCTGGCACTGACACCTGGCCTGCCGGGCCTGCCTGCGGGCCACAGGGGCACCTCCTTGGTTGACCCCAGGAACTCCTCCCCACGCCTCAACCCGCTGGCCTCGGCCTCGACCTTGGCCTCGGCGTCCCCTCCGCTGCGGCCCCTGCCTCCTGCGCTCTGCTTTTCCGCTGCCCAGCTCCTGGACCTGCCTGCCGGCTATGAACTGGGGTCCTCGGCCTTCGAGCCCTACAGCTCGCCCTACAGCCGGCTAGCGCGGAGAGAAGGCAGCCCTGGGGGCCCCAAGAAAGCTAACGCCTCAGCCTCCACCCCGATGTGACACTGTCCCCAGGCACAGCACCACCCCCGCCGCCAGACCCCGTGGAGATGGGCAGCCACGCGTCCTGCCCCACCTGCCCCCCAGCTCAGAGACTCTGGGCCAGGACCAGAGGGCCTTGGTCGCTCAGTTTGTGTGTGTGAGTGTGGCATGCGTGAGCCTCTCACTGAAATAAAAGTAAAACAATGACGAAAGGAAACGGAGTCCCCCCAGCACCACCCCTGCCCCTCCACCCCTCTTTCCCTCTCCTCACTGGGAAGGAAAATGGGCTAAGGTGAGGGGGATCTCTCATGGGAGGGGGCAGAAACTGGGCCCCTTCACAGTTATGGGGGGGTCACTGGCTACCTGGCTTCCACTCCCAGCTAGAGCTCCCACATGGGCATTCCCAGGCCCATGGTAACATCGACACTTTTATGGGTTAAGCATCGCCTTTAGAGAGCTCCTCTTTCAAACATAAAAATACTTGAGTGGGGGGCTGGGAGGATGTTAAGTCCTTTGAGAGGGTGGATCCAGAGAGCCTGAGAGAAGGCATTAAAGGTAAGCCCAGGTGAGACCCCACCTGCTTTAGCAGGCCCCCCAATCACAGACACAGCAATATGAAGCACTTAAAACACCTTTTTGCTCAAATAAGAAACTTCAACTTTTTACTTTGCAATAATTGTAGATGCATAGGAAATTGCAAAGACAGTCCAGAAAATTCCATGTACCCTTCACTCATTTTCCCCCAATGGTCACATCTTCTGTAACTATGGTAAAACATCAAAACCAGGAAATTGACATCAGTACCATGTGTGCACAGTTCCACGTGATTTCATCACTCGTGTGAGATTCATGGACCACCGCAGCAATCAATAATCAGAGCTGTCCATCACCACAAAGACCTCCTGTGCCAGTCCTTCATAGTCACACCCACCCCTGCCTCAGCCCAAGAGGGTTCTCTGAAAGAAGGGGAACTGTGAGAGAGGGGCCAGAGACCCGAAATGAGTCCTTAGGCCGGAGGATGGGGGGTAAGATTTGGATTCTGTGGGGAGCAACAGTCTGCTCCAGTCAGAAACACGTATTTGGTTTAAAATTGGCAGCCCTGAGTCACCCAGAATGGGGTGCTGGGAGAGGAATCCTGAGTCTGTAATGAGACATACCGGTGACTGGGGCAGAGCTTGGGTTGGGCCGGTCCAGCTGCCACCCAGTGCCCACTCTGTCTTTCCCAGCAGACCTGTGTCGCCAGCCTAGGGGAAACCACCCAGCACAAAAAGTGTTCCTCCATTTGTACTTGCTGCCCTGGGCTAGATATGTCAGGGGAGGCTGGCTGCATGGGACCCTGGAGGGCTCTAGGATCAGAAAGGGAGACCTGCCCTGGTTCTCAGGGTGCTGTCAATATTACGAGATAGAAAGGCTTAAGGACCCCAAGTCTGATGGAGGAGACACGGGTTCAACTTGGGGGGCTCACAGACCAGTGACAGCAGCAAAAGAACTCTCCAAAAGAGTGTGGGGGCTAAAAAATAATACCTTTCCTCCCATCTTCTAGCTAGGCTAATAACCAAATTAATGAGATCAACAGGACAAAGTGGAATTTTAATACATGCACACCGGGAATTCATATGAGCATGTCTAGTCCAAAGACAGTGAGGCAAAATTTGGACAAAGGAGAAAGGACAAAGAATGACCCTCCATAGGTGTGGTTTTTTAAAAAGCTGATAATGGAATTGTGCAGGGGAAGAAGTCCCCGGCGTGGTTGGGGCAGGGGTGCAGAGGAGGGCAGGCTGTGGGTGGGGACAGTGAAGAGAAGACCTGAGGGGGAAGACCAGGGAGAGAAGTGATGAGGGGCATGGGGCTGTGAGAGCACCTGAAGTTCCAGGTGGGGGAAATGGGTTCACACTGGGTGCAGGTTGGGGTGGAGGAACAGCCAAGGACAGAGGTGAGAGAAGCCAGCCGGACCCCTCTGCCCTCCCTTCCCCCATCCTCCTGCTTCAGGTGGCCTAGGGCACCTCCCAGATCTGAAATTGCTCCAGGAAACCAAGTTTCCCTGTTTACAGTTGACTAGGGGGAGGAGGGGAGGGGAGGGGAGGGGTAGTCTCAGGGGCAGGCCGGTCAGCTTTCTCCAGCTCCAGCTGGGCCTGGAGTGTTGGACCTGCGTCAGCAGGCTCAGACACTGCTCCCAGCTCCACACCTCACCATGGCCACAGAGGTAGACAGCAGGCCTGGGGGGCTCCCCAGCAGTGGTTGCGACCTGGGCGCAGCTCGGGAGCACATGCAGGCGGTCACCCGAAACTACATTACCCACCCCCGTGTCAGTGAGTATGACCCCCAGTGGGTGAGGTTTGGGTGGGTTGCTGGGTCCTCAGGCACTGCTTTTTAGCTTCAGGGAAAGAGGAGGACCAGAGAGCTGGGGTGACATGGGGGGCTTTTGGTCCAGTGGAGTGATGCCATGGGCTACCTGGACAAGGAGCCACCTCTGCAGGTGGAGAGATGGGAACCCAGGTCACCCCAGAGGAGAGGGCAGGGGAGTAGCTGCAGGGACCTTCCAGTCATCTCAAGTACAGAGAGTTCCCAACTGCCCCTGAGAGTGTGTGTGTTTGGGGTATGTGAACACGCAGCATGAGGAAACGTATGATCGAGTGTTCCTGGGGATGTGTACCGGATGGGGAACTACATGACGCTGTGTGTGTCACATCAATGGGTGCATGCCGTCCGTGTGTGTGTTCTGGGGGAGGGTGTCTGTGTGTACGACCAGGGAAAGGCATGTGCCTGGATGTGTGTGTTCCCATCTTTACTCAGGTGAGGATATGTGTGGATGTGTGTGACAGCTTGAGTGTGTGTGTGATCAGAATGAAGAAATGTGGGTGTATATGTCATTTTGGATAAAGGGGAAAAAGAAGAGACTGCATGTGCACCCTTGTATACTTAGGGTATGTGTATGTGTGCATGTATGTGCTCAAGCATGCGTGATCATGGGGAGAACACGGGAGTGTGTCGTCAGATGGCATCACATGTCTGTGTGTGTGCAGTGGGGGGGTGAGCACCTGGCACCCAGGTGTACAGGTATGTGTGCTGGAGTGTACCTTTGCAGCCTTCAGAGGGTGTCACCCTGGAGGTTTGAGTGTTTGACCTGCAGGGGTGCCCCGAGTCCAGATGTCTGGACCCGAGAACTTGGTAAGGCCCCGTGGACCAAAGGGAGCCCTCTGCCCCTGCCATCTCTCCTAGTCCAAGGTCACTCTTCTTGGCCTAGCAAATTCTAGAATTCTCAGGCAGCCCAGCCCACTGGAGTAAACCGGCCTGGCCAGCACCAGCTAAGCTGAGCCAGAGGCTGCTAACAGGGTGTGTATGGGGAGAAGCTGGCCCAGCACAGCCAGCCCTCCCTCCCTCTCCAGTTACATTCCAGCGAAGGAGAAACTGAGAGGAGTTGTGTCAGGTTGGTCAAGGTGGCCCCCAGGCCCTGCCAGCTCTGCCCTTGGGGGTGCAGAGGATGGAGGCCCAGATCCTCCCCTGGGGCAGAGAGAAGGTCCCCAAGGCCCAGAAATATGCAGTGACTGGACCTCCCTTGGGTCCAGAGTCCAGACCTGGAGACCTGTGAAGAGCTGACTGACTCTTTTCCAGTCCCTTGTGATGGCCTACCCTGCAGGATCCTCCCGTCATCCCTTCTCCCTGTGGGAACAGGAGAGCTGCCAGGGTCCTGAGTGGGCTGTGGGGTATGGAGTTTGGACTTACATGCTTTGCTTTCCTTCTCCCTGGAATGTACCCTCCCAGGAACCCTGCAGGCTGCACCCCCACACCGCCAGTCAGTTCCCTCCCTGCCAGTCCCTTATTTATAGTCAATAAGCCCTGAGTCAAGTTTGATCCAGGCTGGAACCTAGGGGTGGCAGCAAGTCCCCGGCCCCACCCCGGGTTTGTAAGGGTGTTGTTCCATGCGGTCCCCACCCAGACAAATGTGTTCACACACAACAGCTGACCCAGAGGCAGGGGTTAGTGCAGGGGGAGCCCCTTCAGGCTCCACAGCTGTGTTAAAGATGTTATTGCAACAACAAAGACCACCACCTTTGGTCTGCGGCACACCAGTGTCCTCACAGGATATACCCAGGGGCCAGCCCTAGCCTGGCCTTGACAGCCACCCCTCCTCCCCCCAGGGCAGGCAGGATTCCCCAGTGTGCTCTGCACCTCGGCTTTTACCAGTTTCCTCCTTTCCCCTTCAGGTGCCTGAGGGGTTTTTCTCCCTGGGGGGCTTGGACAGGCACAAAACCCAGAGCTGCTGCCCTCCATAGGCTGGGCAGGACTCCTGTGTCCCTCTCTGCCCCCCTCCTCCACTCTGGCTCTCTACCGGGCACCTGCTAAGCACTTCCAGGCAGGAGAACTTTTGTGTAGAGAAAGATCCTAGGAGGAGGGCAGCTGGCTCCCAGCCCCAGGGCTCCCTGGGCCAATGGGTGGGGTGGGCCCAGGAGGCTTCCTGGAGGAGGAGGTGACCTGAGGCACTGCAGTGGCTGGGGAGGGAGTGGGCCAGAAAGGGGAGGGTGGAGTCAGGATAGGGAGTGAACCCTCCCACTGTCCACTCCAGGAATGAAGGGACCCCTTTGCCACCCTCAGACTATAATTGTTCCCCCAGGGGAGGGGGTGGCATGGAGCTTTATCTGGTTGAGTGGGGCAGAAGTTGCTAGGCTGATAGGGTGAGGGGTGGGGGACACAGCATGAGCAACAGTGATGATAGCCAGGCTGGCAGCCCGGCTGGAGGGATGGAGCCAGGTCAGATTGCCCACTTAAGTGCCACACCACTGGCTGCCTCAGTTTCCTCAACTGAAAGGGCAGGGAAGTTACACCGAGAGAATTCCACCCAGCAGGGTCTGGGGCTGATTCTAAGAATCCTCTGCTTCCAGCCCCTGCCCCCCCCACCCTAATCCCTCCAGCAGGATCAAGGAGGAGGTGAGGGACCCGCTGCCCCCGGCTTGCCCCCACCCTGGCCTCACTCGGGGTCGCCGCCTCAGCCAACTCCAGGGACACTGCAGGTGTGAGGCTGGGCCGCCCTAATTAGTGGGCTGCCCAAGCCCCCTGCTGAGCCTTTGACAGGAAAGGCCGGGAGGAGAAAGGGTCAGGGAGGGGCTCCACCAGCCCGCAGCCCAAAGTGCAACCCGAAGTGTCAGCTCCGACAATGGAGAGGGGGTGGGCAGAGCGGCGGGAGGGAGGGAGAGTCTGCAAAGTCTCAGGAAGGCCATTGAGGAAGTGCCCTCCTAGGTCTCTGGTTCAGCCCCCGCCTTAGCATTCCCCCAGTCTTCACCTCTCCAGGGCCAAGGGTGTGTCCCAGGGCTGGAGTAGTGGCCATTTCCTTGGGTGCCACAGGATACTGTCCTGATCTGTGCTGTGCCCCAAGAGAAACGAGCCAACTTTCTAGGCCTCAGTTTGCCTCCCCATGCAATGGACACAATGGGCAGAGTTGGGGGTGGGTACAAACCAAAGGCCTGGCCTCCAGTCAAGGGCATCATTATTGCTCAGCCACCGCCTTGGCTATGTCCAAACCAGCCAGCCTCTGAGAAAAGATGTAGACCAGGCTGACAGGGGACACCTTAGGCTGAGGGGAGAGACAGTCTATCTATGTTGTCAAGGAACAGACAACCTGGTGAACAGGATACCCGCTGGGGTGCCAGCCTGGAACCCTGTGGACTTCAGAGGGGAGAGGACCCAGTGGGCTGCAGTCAAGGGTAGAGCCTCAAAAGATGTGAAAATCCGGATGCTGAACAGAAATAGCCACATAACTGATTATCTGCAGCTAAGAGCCAGGCTAGGAGCCATGTTTTCATCCAGCAACCATCTATGAGGCCCACCTGGGGCCAGGCACAGTGCCTGCTGGGAGCCTGGGGAGGCAGCTTACAGACCAGGCTGGTGGCCTGAGATAGATGAGAGACCTCATGCTGGTCAGCCAAGTGCCTGGGCTGGGGGAGGCACAGAACTGAACGGCGGCTGGCAGCCCCAGGGCCTGGCTCAGCTGCAGGCAGGCACTTGCCCCAGCCCCTAGGCTCCCCCAAACCAGCCCCTCCTCCTTGAGGGCTGAGGGTGGGAGCAGCAGATCTGCTCCCCTCTTTGTGCCATCACCACCACCACTTCCCCCTCCTTGGATGCTCCACCCGCCAAGGTAGAGCTGCTGGATGTGGGGCTTGGTGAGGGTTTCACATGACAGCAGCTGTGAAGTGGGGACGCTGGCTGTGAACATGGGAAGGAAGCTGAAAGGCTTGTCTTCCTGGCAGAGCTGGAAATGGATCCCTGGGGCTTTCTGGACCTTGGGC